TGTTCTCCATTGCTTAGTTTGGCACCTGGGGCACCATCCTGCTAGGTTTTTTTTTTTTTTTTTTTTTGTTTTTTTTTTGAGACGGAGTCTCGCTCTGTTGCCCAGGCTGTACTGCAGTGGCCAGATCCCAGCTCACTGCAAGCTCCGCCTCCCGGGTTCACGCCATTCTCCTGCCTCAGCCTCCCGAGTAGCTGGGACTACAGGCGCCCGCCACCTCGCCCAGCTAGATTTTTGTATTTTTTAGTAGAGACGGGGTTTCACTGTGTTAGCCAGGATGGTCTCGATCTCCTGACCTCGTGATCCGCCCGTCTCGGCCTCCCAAAGTGCTGGGATTACAGGCTTGAGCCACCGCGCCCGGCCCATCCTGCTAGTTTTTATTTCAAGTGTGTGCAAACCACGTTTTGTTTCTGTGTTTCAAATTATGCGAAGAACCATTAATTGATTACCTTCCCATTACATTTATACACCAGTTGCTGTTAAATCCACACTAGTGGTATAAAGGAGTGGTTAAGAGCCTGGACTCTGAGCCTGTATCACCAGGAACCCCTGCTAGGATACAAACTAGCTAAGTGACCTCCAGCAAGTGAATTAAAGTTTCTGTACTCAGCTTCATCATCCATACAATGGTAATAGTATTGATATCTACTTAATATGGTTGTTCTAAGGTTTCAGTGACTTAATGCTTCTAGCGAGTTGGTAACAGTGCTTAGCACAGTAAGTTCTCAGATAATGTTATTTTGTATTATTTTGTCTTTTGTTTTTACTGTTCTTGTACTTTCAAGTCTGTTTCAGAGGACACCTGTTTTTCCTCATGTAAGTTTCCTCCCAAATCCTCCCTTTTCCACTCATGTATTTTATAGTTCACTGTAGCCCTCATCATTTTTTTTTTTTTTACCTCAATATATGTAGAGAAATGAATTGGAAAAGATCCTGCTGAGGTTCCCTCTAGAGAGGTAAGCAGGCATTGAATGCCCTGTCACGGGGAAACTTCAGCCTGGCTGTTTGAATGTTTATGATGGGAATGCCTTTACATTACAATGGGATGGAACTGAATCTGTGTTATTTAAAATAAATGTTTACAATTGTTAAATGCAGTTGGGGTGGGGGAAGTAGGCTTCCAGGGCAGCCTGGTGCTGTGGCAGCCAGGTCCCATCATGGACTGCATCCTGTGAGACTGGACCAGTCCACACATTTCCAGGGCAGCAGTCGTCTGCCTCCCATCCTTAGCAGTGGCAAGACTTCCTTTGTCAGCAAATCTGACTACCTCTGGTTCAGACCCCTGGCAGCTTTGCCTTTCACAATATCCTTTGTCCACTCCCCATCTCTCAAAGACACTGGGGAGGAATTTTAGGAGTCGGGGTAGGTACCACTGTACCTAGGTCCAATACTACCTCTTGTGAAGCCCTTCCTCACACACCCACTGAACGTGTTTGAATTAACTGTGACTGCCTCTTTGTTCCTAGACAGGTTGCTCAAACCTCTAGGTAGCACTTAGGGTTTGACCTTTTCCAGCCTCGTTGTTTTGTTAATTAGATCGTCTATTCCCTAAGGGTACATACGGGGTCTCTAATTCAAGCTTGTAGCCCGCCCAGTCCTCTTGCCCCCATCTTAGGGCTTTAGCACTCTTTTTTTTTTTTTGAGATGGAGTCTTGCTCTGTCACCCAGGCTGGAGTGCAGTGGTGCGATCTCAGCTCACTGCAACCTCCACCTCCTGGGTTCAAGAGATTCTCCTGCCTCAGCCTCCCAAGTAGCTGGGACTACAGGCGCGTGCCACCACACCCAGCTAATTTTTTGTATTTTTAGTAGAGACGAGGTTTCACCATGTTGGCCAGGATGGTCTCGATCTCTTGACCTCATGATCCGTCTGCCTCAGCCTCCCAAAGTGCTGGGATTACAGGCATGAGCCACCACGCCCGGCCAACATTCTTGATTCCTTTTGCCCTTGTCCCTAGCTAGCTCTTTTTGTTATTCAGGTCTCAGCTCCTGTCACCTTCTCTGAGAAGCCTTCCTTGACTACCTTATCTAAAACAGACTGCTTTCCTTTCAAATCATTCTCTATATCATAACTGGTCTTACTTTCCTGATAGCACTCACCGCAATCGGAAATTCTCTGATTTGCCTCACTTTTTATCCGTCTCCCTTGCTGGAAATGAGTCACAGGAGGGCGGGGACTTGTCTGTTTTGTTTACCCCTAAATCCCCAGTGCCTAACAGTAGGTGTTCAAGAAAATATGTGAATGAAATTCACCTATTAATGAAATTTTATTTGATCATTGACTGTTTCCGCCAGTAGACTGTCAGCTCCATGCAGGCCAGGGCCTTATCTGGGGTACCTCAAAATCCTCAGCACCTAGCACAGTGCACGGTGCATAGTAGATCAATAAAGAACTGTTGGGTGGCCGGGTCCGGTGGCTCATGCCTGTAATCCTAGCACTTCGGGAGGCCGAGGCGGGTGGATCACAAGGTCAGGAGATCGAGATCATCCTGGCTAACACGGTGAAACTCCGTCTCTACTAAAAACAGAAAAATTAGCCGGGCGTGGTGGCGGGCTCCTGTAGTCCCAGGTACTCGGGAGGCTGAATCAGGAGAATGGCGTGAACCTGGAGGCGGAGCTTGCAGTGAGCCGAAATCGCGCCACTGCACTCCAGCCTGGGCGACAGGGCCAGACTCCGTCTCAAAAAAAAAAAAAAAAAAGAACTTTTGGGTGAGTGATTTAATGTTCCACACACACCGGAATTCAACATAGCCCAAATTAAATTTAGTCTCTTCCCCACCAAACCTGTTTTCTCTTCTGCGTAGCCCAGTTCATTCAGTGGCACTGTCATCCATGCTGACACTCAACCCAGAAATGAACTCACACCCCTTTCACTCACTCATCCGCTATTATCAGTTTCCAAACACTGCCTATTCAACCTCCAAAATATCCAAATTATCTCATCTTTTTCTACCCTTTCCCACACTATCCTGGACCAATTTTCCCCCCGACACTAGTGAAACAGCCTCACTCCTCCTGACTCCTTGTGAAGCTAAGAAAGCTTAAACTGCAGGACCTGTCACTTTCCATAGGGTCACACGATCATGTGTTTTATAAAGTTCACAAAATATATTTAAACAATTGGTTCAAAGTGCTGTCCCTTTCCACTGAGGGCCTGGCCATACTTTCCCTTGCATTAGGTGGTGTTGGAGCTGCCTGACATTTTTGAGATCCACCTAAGGGGAAGTTGATTTGGGGGATACATTTAGGTTGGGTTTCATGGGATATTTGTTATTTAAAAATTTATTTTGTTTTTATTTTGTAGAGACAGGGTTTCACTATGTTGCCGAGCCTGGTCTTGAACTCCTGGGCTCAAGCGATCCTCCCATCTTGACCTCCCAAAGTGCTGGGATTACAGACGTGCAATCTGCACCCAGCCCCATGGTACATTTACATTGTGCCTTGTATCACTTCTCTTCATAATTATTACACGGGTGGAGGAATTGCTTGTAGAAATACTCTTACTGCCTACCTTTGATCCTAATTTTGTATTCATAAGTCAATTTTTTTCTTTTCTTTTTTTTTTTTTTTTTGAGATGGAGTCTCGCTCTGTCACCCCGGCTGGAGTGCAATGACACAGTCTCGGATCACTGCAACCTCCGCCTCCCGCGTTCAAGCGATTCTCCTGCCTCAGCCTCCTGTGTAGCTGAGACTGCAGGCGCGTGTCACCACACCCGGCTAATTTTTGTATTTTTAGTAGATACTAAACATGGTTTCACCACGTTGGCCAGGCTGGTCTCGAACTCTTGACCTCGTGATCCGCCCGCCTTGGTCTCCCAAAGTGCTGGGATTACAGGCGTGAGCCACCACGCCTGACTGTTTTTTTTCTTAAAGATGTCTCACCCTTCCTCCCCCAAACCATATAAGCTTCAGGTCCCATTAAACCTGGACCTTTCAGTGCAGTGGCTCAGGCCTGTAATCCCAATGCTTTTAGAGGATCTCCTGAAACCAGGAGTTTGAGACCAGCCTGGGCAATATAACGAGGCCTGGGCTCTACAAAAAAATCAAAAATAACCGAGTGTGGTGGTATGCGCCTATAGTCCCAGCTACTCAGGAGGCTCTGGCGGAAGGATTGCTTGAGTCCACGAGTTCTAGGGTGAAATGAGCTATGATCGCCCAGCCTGAGTTGACAGAGTGAGACCTTGTCTCTAAAATAAACATTAAAAAAAAAAAAAAAAAAAAAAAACCCTAAACCATCCTCTGGGTAAGTCACAAATATGAGACTCAGCTACTCCTGCTCAAATACCTTCTTTTCTTTTTACTAACTGCATACAATCTAAACTCTTTTGCATTTCGCAATCTTTCATGTTTTGACCCTTTACTGTTTGACCTCCTACCTATCTCTCTTCTGTTCTCCTTGTTCCAACAATATTCAACTTTTAGTAAATATTTTTCTATGTGCCTCCATGCATTTGTACACGTTGATCCTTTTGAGTACAATGTTCTCGCTTGTTTATTTAAGTGAACTTATATCCTCCATGTCTCCCTGCCGTCTTTCTTACAGCAGCTGCAAGCGGTTTGTAAGGCTCTTTTGTAGCTTCGTGTTGCATTTTGCAAAGGTCATTTTGCAGGTGGTATTTGTGTGCTTGCTGCGCCTTCTATTCCATTGTTTACTCGCAACTTTGTTTCCTGCACTGGCAGATGCCCTCCCACTCCAGAGGCCCTGTTTTCACCATTGCATCCCCAGGGCCTAACCCACCATCACTGGTTAGTAAATTGTGTGCACGCACACATTTATTTTTTAAAGCAATGGGACCCTTTAAGAAAATGAAATAGTAAGATAACTCCTAGATAATTTTCTAGAATGTTTGGGAAAACCTAGGCCATCTTGAAGCATATGTATGAAGCTCCACTAACTCAGCAAAGCTCCACTAACTCAGCCTTTCCTCTCATCCCCTATCCCCTCCCCTCAGGCTATAGTCAGAAAATTGTGGGACAGGTGCAAACAAATCCTTGAACTGTATTTGAACTGAAGTGAAACAGTAGGGTCAAAGAAGAGTTCAGAGGGAGTTGTGGAGTTGGCAGCGCTTTACAGAGGAACTACACTGAGGGCCTGAGGACAGAACGCGGGTAGCACAGGGCGAAAGGTTCAACGTCCCTGCTCTGGGACTCAAGTCACTTGGCTTCTCGAAGCCCCTGCCTTCATTTGGTGATAATCACAGAGCTTCCTTCACAGGGGTAAGAACAACGCAGAGACCGTGGGAAAGAGCCCAGCCCGCCGAAGGTGCTCAATGATCAGGAGCCGCGGTGAGTACTCCGCCTCTACCCCGGCTGAAGCCCGCCCCCGCCGTCACCTATTAATTTTGTAGTTTGGAGTCACCGAGTTCACCTCCTCTCATAGGAGGAGAAGGCTGGGGAGGAGGAGTGTGCGAGTCGGGGTAGCTTAACTCCCTGTTTGCCCGGAGGAGGGGGAAGGCTAGGAAGTTTCGGGCCCCACTCAAAATGGAGCCAAACGTCTGCCTCGCCTAAGATGGCGGCTTCTCCGCCTCTGGGCTCAAGGTCTTCAGCGGCGATTGGGCACCTTAAAGAGACTAGCGGGTCCAAAGGTGGCTGAGAACCGCCCTCCTTTCTCAAGGTGGCGCCCCGCCCCCTGGCGGCGTCACCCGGGAGCCGGCGGCTCGCGGTTCCCCGCCTCCGCCGCGCTCACCTCGCGAGCCCAGCCCTCATAAGATGGCGGTCAAGCCTTGGCTCTGTGGGTAGCGCCGCCACTCTCAACATGGTAGATGTTTACCCCGTATTTCTCCTCCCCTCTCCGCTTCAACTTCCTCGTTGCTTTGAATAAACTTTATTGACTACTCCGAATTGCCTACCACCGCCACTGGGCTTCTCCCAACGACTTTTCGGGCCGTGTGCCTCGGACGTGGCGGCCGGTTCATCTCTTTCCCCGTTGGTTTGCTCGCGACTATCTCCTGCTGGCCCAGCGACGACGCCACTTGCCCGTTCGCCGGGCGGCCGCCAGACTAGGCCCAAGCCGCGGTCTCCAGTAGGCCCGAACGGCCGGGCCGAGGGGAATGTTGTGGAGGAGGCTGCTCTGAAGTACCGTCGGGCGACTGGCGACGCGCGACCCAGCAGGGGGCTCCAGGGGAAGGCGAGCGAGGTTCCCGGCGGTACGGGGACTATCCCAGAATTCGACGCGCGCCGCCGTAGGGGCCGGAACTACCGGACGAGCCTCCGCTGAGGCGCCTCGCCGTCCCGGAGCTAGCCCGGCTGCCGGCGTGTTGCGGGGACTGAGCTCTGCGGGCGTGGAGTCCTTGCAGCCCAAAGCATGAGGAGGTCCCTGTAGGATTCTGGACCGAAGACGTTCTTGTCAGGTTTGGGGCGTGAGGAGGTTCCTGTCAGTTGGGGAAGCGTTAAGATTCCTGTAAGTTTTGGGGGCTGCGAGGTTATTACTGTCAGTGTTAGGATATACTGTGAGGTACCTGAACATTTGTGGGGACTAGGGAGCTCTCATCAGTTTGAGGGGGCTGCAAGGAAACCCTGCCAGTTCCGAGCGATGCAAAAGAATCCTTGCCTAGTTTCAAGAGTGTGAGGAAACTCTAGTCAGTTTGAGGGGTTTTGAATAGATCCTTTTGAGTTTCAGGGATGCAACCAGAAGCCTGTCATCTTGAAAGTACAAAACGAGCTGGTCAGTTTAGAGATTTCTATTTATTTCAGTTTTGGGCGTGACGAGACTCCTGACTGGTCGGGGAAGGAATGATACTGAGAGTGACGGAAAGGATTATTTAAACTCTCGGAACACGACCCCAGAACTGTGATTTGAGTTGGGCGTCTAGTCTTGTCTGTCTTGTTCGTGGAGGCTTTGAGTAACCTGAAGAGACTTTCGGGGATCCCTTATTTCTCTCTGGTTGGCCCTGTTTCGGGGGGTGAGAGGAGGGTCTTGTCTTGCGATACCCCCAGCCTCATTTTTGAGGCTGTGGTTTGCGTCATAATAAAGGGAGCCTTGTGAAACGGGTCAGCTAGGAGAGGGTTCAGTGAGAGATGAAAGAAGCTTCCCGAAAAGGCTTCAGGTATTTTCCTGAAACCCGGAAAGAAGTTATCACTGACTCCGGGGCGAAGAAGGTCGGGGGTGGGGGGTGGGGGGGGGGTGGGGGGGGGTGGGGGGGGAGGGTGGGGGCGGTGGAAAGCCTGGAAGGTTGAGCGCCGTTCTTTACGTGTGAAAGAAATTCTAAAGGCCGGGTGGACTTTCTCTGGTTGCCCCCTACAGCCGCACCAGCTGTGTTGCATCCCGGCGGCGGTAACTCTCTATTGGGGAACTGAGGGTTGGTGCAAGGGGGTGGGGGGCGGGGGCTGATTCACTCTGTAAAAAGTGTTGTTTGTGCCTAGCCATCGTCCAGAGAGGACGCGTGCTGCCGCCTTCCGCCCCTCTTGACACGACGAACCTGGCCGGCCGCACAACGCTCCAGGGCCGAGCGAAGATGGCCTCGGTGCCGGTGTATTGCCTCTGCCGGCTGCCTTACGATGTGACCCGCTTCATGATCGAGTGTGACATGTGCCAGGACTGGTTTCATGGCAGGTAAGGAGGGCAGGCCAGGCTACACAGGGTGCGGTGGTCAGGTATGTTCACTTGCTCTCTCTTCCTTTTTCAGCTCTGTTTTTAGATTCCGGCTCAGAACCCCCTCTCCCAGACTCAGGTTCTGCCATTTCTCCTTGCAGACCAGGACCTAGCTGACATTAGCCTCTGGTTTCTCCTTTTCCTGTGTTTTCCCCTATGTATTTCATCTTTGCACCTTTCTTTTGAGTGTTTTTTTTTTAGATTTATAAGACCCCCCCCTTTTCTTTGTGTCACAAAGAATCATTTTTATATTCCTTTCTTTTTTTTATTTTTTTCGAGACGGAGTTTCGCTCGTTGCCCAGGTTGGAGTGCAATGGCGCGATCTCCGCTCATAGCAACTTCCGCCTCCCGGTTTCAAGCGATTTTCCTGCGTCAGCCTCCAAGTAGCTGGGATTACAGGCATGCACCACCACACCCAGCTAATTTTGTATTTTTAGTAGACATGGTGTTTTTCCATGTTGGTCAGGCTGGTCTGTAACTCCCGACCTCTGGTGATCCGCCTGCCTCGGCCTCCCAAAGTGCTGGGATTACAGGCGTGAGCCACCGCGCCCGGCCATCATTTTTATATTCTGACAATTATGTTTTGCCTCAGACACTGGCTTTGGGTAAAACAGTATTGCTTATTTGAGGTAGTTGAGTCCACAAACAGGGATTTGAGTTGTGGCTTTGTGCTTAGTTTCAGAGCGACCTTGCACAAGTTGCTTTGCTTTTCTGAGCCTCATTGTCTTGATAAATGTATCAAATATATCTTTTCTGACTTTGCAAAGCAGTTTGGATATACTCCATAAATGGAGGCAGAAATGCAACAGTATTTTATTTCTACAGCATTTATCTGCAGAACCATCCAACTAAATTGAATTAAGCATAATAGATATTGGGTAAAACAAGAGTAAAACCACTGATGAATTCCTTTCAGTTAACCGTGTGTGCACATAAGCCCCTGTCACCCAGAATTCCGGAGAGGTTAGTATGTGCGATAAAACTAATATCCCATTAGTGGGATTTAAATCTCAGCTATGGAAAGACAACCTTGAGGGGGCTTTGTACACTGGAGCACAAAAAGCAGTGTATGGCACCCTCCTCCTGTTGCCTGTTAGATTCTAGAATTTTCAGTTGTCTGGTCTCCTCCAGAGGAGCTATTTCTTTCTCTTTTTTTTTTTTTTTTTTTTTTTTTGTGACAAGGTCTCACTCTTGTCACCCAGGCTGTAGTGCAATGGCATGATCTCTGCGCACTGCAACCTCCACCTCCCGAGTTCAAGTGATTCTTGTGCGTCAGCCTCTGGAGTAGCTGGGAATACAGGTGCACACCACCACGCCAGGCACATTTTTTTGTACTTTTTTGGTAGAGATGGGATTTCACCATGTTGGCCAGGCTGGTCTCAAACTCCCGACTTCAAGTGATCCGCCCACCTCAGCCTCCCACAGTGCCAGGATTACAGGCGTGAGCCACTGTGCCCGGCGAGCTATTTCTGTTTATCACGCTCAAGACCAAACTAAAGGTGTGGTGCTGCGAAAATCCTGCCCTCAGCAGGGACTGCCCCTTTGCCCCATATCCAAATTCATATTTAACTGATCTCTATTGAATATTTATTGTGTGCCCGGCACAGAGTTCTATTTACTGCCTCATGTTATTTAAGAGGGGACAACCCTAGAGGGTGGGACCTTTTCCTTTGCCCTGAAAATAAGTGGGGATTAAGATGTCTTTCAGGATTCCTGGTGTCTTTGCTAGTGCTGATCAAGTCACTCTTCAGCCTAAAATCCTTCTTTCAGTGGTTCGCCTGTGGGATAAAATTCAGTATCCTTTATGTGACAGATAAGACCTTTTGTGATCTGCTTGTTCATTCTCATTTCCTGCCACTCCTCCTCTCTTGTTCTTTATGTCCTAGCAAGACTGAACTACCTATAGTTCTGGGAAAATTTTATACTCCTTTATGCCTTTTTGTCTTTGTACATGCAAACTCCCCCTAATGCCCTCCCCTTTGCAACTCACAGACTGTAAAAGGGGTAAAAGTCCTTCTTCCTCTTGGTTCCCGTTGCACTTTGTATACGTCTTTATTAAAAAGTAATTATTTCATCATATCATAGTTATAAATATATCTGTGTCATTCATTAGCCAGAGCTTCCTGAGGGCAGAGATGTCATCTTTTCATTTTTGGTATCTCCAGAACCTAGTTCAGTGCTAAACATGTAATAGATGCTGAGTACATTTTTGAATGAATTAATGAGTCTTCATGAAAAAAAGCTGTTGACTGGGGCCCTTACTTTGGATTGTATGGAAAATGTGTTTTTTCAGACCTGTAAAATGGGCTCCTGCTGTAACTCCTCACTCTGGAAACAGGGAACAGGAATGAATGCTTCCTGAGTGCTTATGTCTGCCAGACCCCGTGACAGGGACTTAAGGAGCACCAGTCAACAAGCCTGAAAGTTGGATATTTCTCTTTTAAATAACGTTCTTAATTTTTCCCTGGTTTTATAGTGAGACCTGCTTGTTGTAGAAAATACAGAAAAAGAATAAAGAAGGAAATAAAACTCACCCGAGTCTACTACTGTCTGGCACAATCCACTGTTAAATTTGTTGTTGCAGTGTCTCCCATCTTTTGAGTTAGAATATAAATATATATTTTTACAAGATGGGATTGCATTATAAATACCATTTTACAACCTATTTTTTTTTCTAGTTAATGTTTTAATGTAATTGCCAGTTCATTAAATATTCAGCTATACTTGATTTCTGATATCCCACGATATATATGTGTCACTAGTTAACTTGGTAATTTCCTTTATGGTTGGACATTGTACTTTTTTGAACATTATTTGTCCTTTTTTATATTGTGAATAATGTGAGGAAACTTTGGGGGTTCTGGAAAAGTTTTGTATCTTGATATGAGTGCTGATTAAAACAGAAAAACATTATGGAAAGCATCTTTGCTTAGTAGGTACTTGACATTTATTTATAAGGAGCACCATTGAGGCCTTAAAGAATTCTAAACTTACAAATACAGAACTGGGCTTACGGGCCAGGCCCCTCTTTAATCACATTTCTATGGTGAGTTGTGTGTGTTCCTGTGTACACTCTTAACACAAGTTAACCACCTTAAATTTTTTTCCATGAAATACACCAAATTTTAAAAATCTTTTATACTTCTCTCTATGGGCCCCCAATGAACAAGGAAGCTAGCTGAGAATCAGGTCCTTGGTGGGTGGCTGCTCTTGCTTACTCAGTGTGCATTGCTCACAGAAACACACCAGGCTTATAGTGTGCCATTTAAGTTTGTACTTCAGCACAATTGAAAATTCCTACATACTTCTATGGTTGCTTGCAAGCGTTAAGCCAACAAATTTTAAGTCCACAAATGCCTAGAAGTGATAGAAATCTGTTCATATCTCCAATGACTTTTTTTTTTTTTTTTTTGAGATGGAGTTTCACTCTGTTGCCCAGGCTGGAGTGCACTGGCACGATCTTGGTTCACTGCAACCTCTGCCTCCTGGGTTCAAGTGATTCTCCTGCCTCAGCCTTCTGAGTAGTTGGGCCACCATGCCCGGCTCATTTTTGTGTTTTAGTAGAGACAGGGTTTCACCATTTTGGTCAGGCTGGTTTTGAACTGCTGACCTCGTGATCCACCCACCTTGGCCTCCCAAAGTGCTGGAATTAACAGGTGTGAGCCGCCGCGCCCGGCCTCTAGTGACTTTTGTAGGTTAGATTTCTTGAAGTCCAGCCTAGGGATTATGGAATATAATGCCAAGTTACTTTCTGGAAAGGTTATAACAAGGAAGGCAACTATTCCATTTTGCAGCTGAGAATCTGGAATTCGTGGAGATTAAGTGACTTTCTGAGTGTGGATTTGAACTTTGAATTATTTGATTCCAGAGCCCAGGTTCTCAGAAGTGGAAAAAACATGGTATTGCTTCATCCTTCCTGTAAGAAGATGGATTTTGCAAAAACACTTTGATTTGTACAGCGGTGGTTCTCAAACTTTAGCATGTATCAGACTCACTTGGAAGACTTGATAAAACACAAGTTAGGGATGCCCTAGCTACAGTGTTTCTGATTCAGTAGGTAAGCAGGGCCCACCCTTGAGAACCATTGATTTAGAACATTATCCTGTCTTGGTTCCTTCCCCTTCTGCGGAGTGTGATAGCTTCTGATATTGGGGGATGGATGGAGTAACATATCATTACTGTACACCAGTCATTCTCTTTTTTTGTACAGAAAAATTGGAATGAATATTCTTTTTTAATTCCTAAGTGAGCTAACACAGGAGGAACAAACTTTTTTTTTTTTTTGAGACGGAGTCTTGCTCTGTCACCCAGGCTGGAGTGCAGTGGCCGGATCTCAGCTCACTGCAAGCTCCGCCTCCCGGGTTTACGCCATTCTCCTGCCTCAGCCTCCCGAGTAGCTGGGACTACAGGCGCCCGCCACCTCGCCCGGCTATTTTTTTGTATTTTTTAGTAGAGACGGGGTTTCACCGTGTTAGCCGGGATCGTCTCTCGATCTCCTGACCTCGTGATCCGCCCGTCTCGGCCTCCCAAAGTGCTGGGATTACAGGCTTGAGCCACCGCGCCCGGCCGGAACGAACTTTTTAAAAGTAAAGTTCTTCAACTGGGAATTTGTTTAAAATGCAATTTCTTGGGCTGGGACTGGGACTCAGCAATCTGTATTTTAACAAACAAGTGATCCTGATTCACCCTAACATTTGAGAATCATTGCTGTACAATAGTGGAGAAAACTAGTTGGCAAGCATTTATTGATTTCTGGGATTTTTAGCACAAATCTCACTCCTTTACAGTTTTCCTGTTTATAAAAGAAATATTGGTTGATACATGCCCAAGGGAGTAACTTTGGTGTGGATTTTTAACTCTAGAGGAAAGGGCACTGATTTCAGATCTGGGTTCAAATTCTGATTCTGTTACAAAGAATTTATCTGTGAAGCCTCAGTTTCCTTGAGAGGTTGTGATGATTT